AAATGTGGAAGGGGCAAAAGGTGGCATAGTTGTGAATTATGGGATGTTTATTATGGACAGAGTAGAAATATTGAACAGTGCAATATTGATAAAGGGATAGGGATAGATTTGTTTCAATGGGGCATGTGGAATATGGGGTCAGGTTGGAATGGAATGGCCTATGGCAGGCATATGGGTGATGCCTAGGTTGGGTCATATGGCTCCAGAAGAAAGAATTAAGAGAGTAAAAGATTCCAATGGGAACCTGTACTTAAAAAGGACACCTCAGGGGAACCTGTACTAAGGTACTGGAAGAACAGTCTGAATTCTACTTTCAAATGACAGACAGAATCTAGAAGAAAAAGGAAAAGGCTGCTTGGTAAAGAATGAGGAGTAGTGGAGAAGACAAAGTATTCAGGGCCCAGAAGAAAAGTTAAGTGGTCTGGTGACAGAAGTTACGAATCCAAGAAACATAGACAGCAGTGAGCAACTACATGGCTATAGCAAAAATATGGGAGAACTGAATCAAGACTAACATCAGGGGGTGAGAGCAGTTGGTGAGTGGTGGGGAGGGCATCTCTTACCAGTGACCCTCAGCAACAGGCCTGCAGAAATCTCTGTGGAATCTCTGGATGTACAGTATGGCTTTTTTACTATAAGAGAGCTATTCCTTTTGCAGTGGGAGATGTATATAACTGTTCTGAGGGTCAGAAATGTGTTACTGATCCACCATATAGACTTTGTGGGGATGTGTTCCTATATTTTTTCAGAGGTTTTCCCCAGAAGATAATGACTGCTGGTTGTGATAAGTATTCTTGCTTTAACTGATACATCTTTGGACAAAATTACATCTTAAACTATGACAGGTTTCAGAGTAGCAGCCGTGTTAGTCTGTATCCATAAAAAGAAAAGGAGTACTTGTGGCACCTTAGAAACTAACAAATTTATTAGAGCATAAGCTTTCGTGAGCTACAGCTCACTTCATCGGATGCATACAGTGGAAAATATAGTGGGAAGATTTTATATACACAGAGAACATGAAGCAATGGGTGTTACCATACAGACTGTAACAAGAGTGATCAGGAAAGGTGAGCTATTACCAGCAGGAGAGCGGGGGGGGGGGGGGGGCGGGGATGTGTGTCTGTGTGTGTGGAAACTTTTGTAGTGATAATCAAGCTGGGCCATTTCCAGCAGTTTACAAGGACAGTAGGAGGGGAAATAAACAAGGCGAAATAGTTTTACTTTGTGTAATGACACATCCACTCCCAGTCTTTATTCAAGCCTAAGTTAATTCTATCCAGTTTGCAAATTAATTCCAATTCAGCAGTCTCTCATTAGAGTCTGTACGCAACAAAAACACTAACTCAGGAACCTATGCTTACAACAAAACCTGTTACCAACTGTGTCCACTTCAATCTCCTTGGTCACTCGATTACAGACCTAAAAGTGGCAATTCTTCAACAAAAAAACTTCAAAAACAGACCCCGCTCTCCTGCTGGTAATAGCTCACCTTTCCTGAGCACTCTTGTTACAGTCTGTATGGTAACACCCATTGTTTCATGTTCTCTGTGTATATAAAATCTCCCCACTGTATTTTCCACTGTATGCATCCAATGAAGTGAGCTGTAGCTCACGAAAGCTTATGCTCTAATAAATTTGTTAGTTTCTAAGGTGCCACAAGTACTCCTTATCTTAAACTATGGAAATTTTAGCCCAGAATCAAAAACTAAGTAAAGTATAGGAACATTTGTTACACACAGTTTTCATAGATTCAGAAATTTTAAGGCAAAAGGGACCACTGTGATCATCTAGTCTTACCTCATGCATAATACAGGCCACAGGACTTCAAGTCTAATAGCTGTGGCTGAACTAGAGCATGTCTTTAAGTAGAACTGGTTGGAAAATTTAGCCATTTTGACTAAAACAATTTTTTTTCATGAAATCTTATCAATTTTGACAAAATAAATATTTTAAACTAGAATACCGGAATCACAAGAAATATTTATGAATGCTTCCATGCAGTTCTAAAACAGCAGTCTGAATTAACAGAAATATCAATGGAAGAAATGGTACTACCAATGTACTGTCTACAAAAAAGTTACTGGAGATAAATGTTACGTGAACTTTGACATATAGGAGATTACCACTGATGCTCACAATTCATCAAACATGCAACACTCCCTGAAATAAGTTTTGATCGTAATATAATATAATATAAGAGAATATTGCTTATGATCTACCACCAGGCTAGGGAGCTCAAAAATATAGAATTTACATAACCAAAAAAGAGGGAACCTGTAAGTCGCATTCTGTGAGTCCAAAAATGCTGGCCAATATAAGATAGAAAAATTAACTGCTCTGTGGCTACGATGGAACATTTCCCATTTAGTTAGTACTTAATACAGACACTTGTGCTGTAAAGATTGTCAAAGCAAAGCACAAAATATTGCATAAAGCACAATGTCCTACAAAAAGACAATTCCTCTTAATGAGAGACATTCACTGGATACTGATTACTGTCATTATGAAGACAAAAATGCTTTACCTAGACTTAAACTATGGACAGAATATGGACTAGATGTATGGAATTGCAACAGATTTAGGGAATCTTCTTCTTATGGAGACTAGAGAGTCATCAGTTTGAGTCATTTTTTGTTGCAGTAGCCAAAGTAATCCACGCAAAATAATTTTAATGACTGTGGTGTGTTTCTGTTCACATCATTGTAACAGCTAGGAAGTTACATTACACCCAGAATAATATCACTTGCTACTTCTACATCTGGAGCCAAGGGTGTGATTCCCAGTTCCTGTAGACATACTCCAGCTAGCTCTCAGAGCTACCATGCTAAAAATAATAGTGTAGCCAGTAGCACTGAGAGCTGGGGCGAGGGCTAGCCACAGGGAGTACAAACCAGTCAGGACCCCTTGGGATGTATTGGACATCATTAATCTTTGCTACCGCTGCTACACTACTATAAAGCTAGCTGGATGAGAGCTAGCACCAGTATATCTATGCCAGCTGGGAATCACCTCCCTAGCTCCTAGTGTAGATGTAGCCATTACAGACTGTATTGCGATGACATTAATAAAATGTACTGGAAAAATATATTATTTGTGAGGTAACTAGTCTCCTAAAAATGAACCAAGAAGATCCAGGTTTCCAGATATTGTTCTGATGGCCTTTGAGGAGCCTTAGTCGGGTTTTTCTCCAATTTCAATTTCTTTGATGGACATTAGACATGATGTTTTCTGAAAAAGAAATGCCTTAGGCCAAACTTGAACATGAATATGGTGTTTTGTAAAGGAAACTGTAAGGCCTGGTACCATTGTAGTTGCTTGGCAATTGAGACAACAATAAAAAAATCCTCCCCGGTGTTATTTCCCCATTTGTGAAAATTAAGTGCAAATCAAGATCAATCAAATAGTACCTGCTCCTATCACTAATGCTTAGTGGGTGGATGAATATATTTTATGGAGAGAGATGGATTTAAGGGAAAGGGGCTGAAGAAGACTAAACTAAGGGACTTGGCAGAGAGGGAGGGGAAAGTGAAGGGACAGGGGGATATGCCCAGCAGCTTGTGTCATTATTTGCACCTATGTAGAGTGACAGGTTTCAGAGTAGCAGCCGTGTTAGTCTGTATCCGCAAAAAGAAAAGGAGTACTTGTGGCACCTTAGAGGCTAACACATTTATTTGAGCATAAGCTTTTGTGAGCTACAGCTCACTTCATCGGATGCATGTCCACATGTCTACATGCATCCCATGAAGTGAGCTTTAGCTCAAGAAAGCTTATGCTCAAATAAATTTGTTAGTCTCTATGGTGCCACAAGTCCTCCTTTTCTTTTTATGTAGAGTGAGTGTAAAGCAGGCGTGAGAACAGTTTTACATCAGCTCAGCATACAAGTAAGTGTTCATTGTTCGAGATGTCAAAACTGGAGTAGGATAAACATCCCATACTCATTTAAGTGACACAACGCGATACTCCTATTTAAAAACACCTTGTTTTGAAGTCTGTGATTACCTTCCAACTCTCATTGTGCTAATTCTGCCCTTCCTTCCTCTGGCTTCTGATCTCCTCTTCAAAATTCATTTGTTAGGATATGTAAAAATGTTTGATCATGGGTTACATCTTACACTTAAAACAGTGAACTGTTCAGGAGCTGTTCCTTCTGATGCTCTTTAAACTATGTAGCACACTTTAGGTGCTATGCAAATAATAAATACTACTACTTATACTTAGTAATTATTCAAAGACTTATAGTTTTTGTGTAATTGAATTTAAGGGCTTAGATCCGAAGCTTTTTGGCATGTATCATTTCAACTATTGTTTTTATTTACCAGTTCCTGCTATATTTCACTCACCTATTTAAAAAAGTTAAGTTATTAAGCAACAACTGTTGTCGTTTAAATCATATTAATAAACCAATGTGAAGTTAAGTAATTCGGAAATATATTTATAATATGGAAAGGGCAAAGCTGTGTAACTTTTCTTTTTATATTAAAACTCTTCTCTGCCGCCTCCCAGGATTGTCCTGAATACTACCCAAACATAATTTCTGATCAGCAACGGACTTCATTAATTATATTTGCTGTCTGTTAAGAAAATGATGACCTGATCTCGAATCAGAAAAAGGAGATGCACATGTTACAGATATCTGAGCGTGGCAAGCAGACCAGTGAAACAGCGACACTGTTACCTATAATCTGAACAATTATCACAAAGCGCTAGAAACAACTATTTGATCAGAGATGTTTCCTAAATAGGGAGAGGTTGCAATAGGTTGTACAAGGACTCGCCGAGTTCCAGGTCAGTCTGAGTGGCCGAAAGACAAAGTGGTCTCTATGTAGGCAGTGGAAGGGGGGACGCTCGGAGACACAAATCGGCGGGCAGCTCCAGCTTTCTCCTCCCCCCAGCGCAATTTGAGCTTGAGCGCGCAGTAGCCCCTGCTGAGTGAGGCGGCGGCGAGGCAGGGAGGAGCGACGCATGAGGCGGCGGATGATTACCGGAGCGCTGCCCACAGATGTGTGTGTCTCTCTCTCTCTCTCTCCCTCCCTGCCTGGGGTGAGCGCGCTGGGCGGGCGAGGCACCGCTGGCGGGACAGCAGCTTCCTTCCAGGATGCTCCCGGCTCCTCTCCCTGGACGGAGCCAGTGGCTGCCGCGGAGAAGCGGGACCCAAGAGCAGCAGCTCCTGACTTGAGCGCCAAGGGAATGGGGCGCCCCAACAACACCACGCCGGGGCTGCGGCTGGTGCGTACTGCGCCGTCGCGTTGCGGTTGGTCCCTGCTTTCCACTAGGTCCAGCTCTGCGGAAAAGTTGGTTCCCATCTGAGAAGGAGGGGAAAGGGAAAGCCCCGCATGGCTCTGCGTCCTCGGGCTGCTGTGCTTTTCCTAGCCCCCACTTGAACTCTCTGCGTGGGTCAGGCTAGAGGGGGACTAAAGAGAGAGGAAAGGTGAAATATAGTGGGGAGGGAAGGGGGCTGGAAGGAGGAGGATCGTGTTAGCAAATGGGGAGGATTTTATCAGTGACTATCAGAAGGGCCAGGGTAACTCCTGTGTGTGAGTGAGCAGAAAGGCGTTGGGAGAACACAGATGTAAGAAGTAAGCTTACAAGAATGCCTTGCCCACCCCAGGATTTCACTTTAGAAGGGAGTCCCTTCCAGGGGCTGTTTGCTAGGCAGATCCCTGTGCGCGAGATGCTTCAATGTTTCCTAAGTTTTTATTGATTTCCTTTGCGAGAGAGACTCATTCTCTGTACTCGGGTATCTCATCATGGGAGCCCACCGGGATTGAAACCCCCAAGGGGCATTTTTTTGTGTTACTCTCATTCTCAAGTAGCACAGTGATGTTGGGAGCTCACTGCCACTTGCATGTTCCCCTGTCTATTGTGTGACTGTTACGGTGTTGCACGTTTCTGCTGACTGCGTTCATGGATTATTAGGCAAACCACATGTACCCTGCTTTTGTTTGGGCTCTTTTTTTTTTTTGGTCCTGAAAGAGTAAGGTTGATTGGGGCCCCAGAGATAAAAAGTGAAATGTGCAGTGACAAGTGTTTTGTACAGCAAGGGTCATGAGAGAGCAATAGCATCAGACCGAGTCTGATGACAGCAAATTGGCAATGAGGGGCATGAATTATGCCACAATTGCACTAGGATAACATCTTCCAAGACATGTCTTTAAATTACATCAAGAACTTCTATGAAGGATGTGTGAGTATTAAGTAAATAATGACAGGAGAGGTGTTGGGGAAATAAATAAAGTGCTTTCTTTATCATGACAAATATACATGGGTGGAGATGAAAGTTCTGATAATCAAATATGGAGGAACAGAATAGCATTCTCTGAAAAGGCAGACTTTAAAAACTACATAATCCATGCTTTCCTAAAAGAAAATAAAGATGGAGCACTACTACTCAAAGTAATAGTGCAAACAGGTAAAGTTTCCTAGCCTAGTTCTAGCAAAGCCACTTTTGAGAACTTTATATGTTTAATTTCTGATACTAAATATTCAATTATTTTAGTTTAATCAATAGAATAATAAAAATTGATTGACTCTTTATTGAAGGATTCTTTTTCAATCTGCCTGACATGTCTCTAGTTGTAGAATACTGAGTTTTATGAATGTAGCTGATATGTAAAGCCACTACTGAAATCACAAAAGCATAGTTGTTAAGCAGAACAACTGACAGACACAATATAAATGAGAGTGTACTAGAAACAGTAAGTAAAATCAGTCCCTAACAATAACATGGACTTTGATTATATTTCAAGCCACTATTTGGTTTAATGTACACAACACCCTTTGTATAATAGTTATTTTTAAAAGGGAGAAAAAAAAGAGTGAGAAGGGTGTTTTTTAAACCTGAAATAAATGTTCTAGGTAACCTGAAACTGGAAGAATAACTTTTGTTCATGTTTGCCTTTATCTTTCCTGCTGCATAATCCTGCGACTGTTACAGCTCAGGCCTCCAACAGTGATTGGTCAGTTCCATACCCTTTTCTTTGGCTCAGTTCGAATGTTTTTCCTTGGAGTTCTGGGCTTTGCAGTTTATGGAAATGAGGCCTTGCATTTCAGCTGTGAACCAGACAAGAGGGAGGTTAATCTCTTCTGTTACAACCAGTTCAGGCCTATAACTCCTCAGGTAAATTTTCTTTTAATTGAAACAACCAATTATTTAGGAAATAGATAAAAGGTTCATAAAATGAAAGTAAATTCCATTTCCCCATTTTACATAAAGAGTAGTAATTAAACAGAAAGTGGTGGTAGTGTTTTTCAACAACTGGCCCCAGTTCCTGAGCTCTCCCTGACACAGTTTAGGAAGGCAGCAAGCTGGTCCCTGGTATCAAAAAGGTTGAGAAATACTGGTTTGGACATCAGTGGAACATAATCTTCTGTAATAAACTTTCATTTGTGACAAAGTAAGGGGCTAATCTTTTAATCTTTATTCACATGAGCCGTCATTACCCTTGCAAGTAGTCAGACTGATTTCAACTCATATGAATAAAGATTGCAGGATCAGCACATAAATGTACTATAAATAGCATTCTCCTACTTGGAAATATTTGTAGACAATAAGGCTGGATTCTGTAACCCCTTATGCAGTCATCCTTGTTCACCTAGATCAGTCCAGTGACTACATAACAAACAGGAAGGTTGGCCTAGTAGATAGGGCCCTAGCTTGACACTCAGAAGACCTATGTTTGATTCCTGGTTCAGCTACAGATTTTCTGTATGACTTTCAGCAGGTCCCCTCATCTGCCTTAGTGCGTCTATCTGTAAAAGAAAACAGGGATAACATTTAAATTACTCACAGTGTGTTATGAGGATAAAATCCATCAGTGATTGTGAAGCACTCAGGCTGAGATCTGCAAACGCTCTTAACTTCCACTTCCCTTCTGAGTCCAACTGAACTCAGTAGAAGTTAGGAGTTTAAACATCTTTGAAGATCTGGGCCTCATACTTTGGTGATAAGGGCCATATAAGCGTCTATAGCTAGAATTATCCAGACAAATAAGGACTACTCCTGTGAATAAGGGTATACAGGCCCAGGATTTATTGACTGTAACCTACTTTATTCATACCAGTCTTCAATTAAATGAATGTTTACATGTAAATGAACTGTAAAACTGGAATAATATGTAATGGTGATTGTTCTTATCTTAAATGATCTTGTAATTGTTTTTAATGTATATCATAAATAGAAAAAAACTTCTCACAAGAAATTTGGATGTATGCGTGTTTTAACTGGCACAAGGCAATTGTACATGATCTGACTGCGAAGTTTCTGCTACCCTTTAGGTATTCTGGGCATTACAGCTAGTGACGGTTCTGGTACCTGGAGCAATGTTTCATCTTTATGCTGCATGTAGAAACATCGATCAGGAAGATATCCTCCAAAAGCCCACCTATACTGTTTTTTATATCCTCTCTGTTCTGTTAAGGATTGTCCTTGAAGTTGTGGCTTTTTGGCTTCAAAGTCATCTCTTTGGCTTCCAAGTGAACCCACTCTACAGGTGTGATGCAGGAGCCCTTGACAAAAAGTTTAATATTACCAGATGCATGGTGCCAGAACACTTTGAAAAGACAATTTTCCTCATTGCTATGTACACTTTTACTGTGATTACAGTGGTGTTGTGTGTTGCTGAGATTTTTGAGATATTATGTAGGAGGCTGGGTTTTTTAAATAATCAATGACCCTGTAGTCATAGTGAACTATTCCCACTTATGTGCCATCATTCTCACTGTTGTGTATGATGGGCTTTTTATGAACAATGGAGATCTTAGTGTGAAACAAAGACCACTTTTTGTACACCTCTGCAATTTTGTATAGGAACTTCCCTTACATGAGCTTTTTCTACATTACTGTTGTAAAATATATAACTAATGGCCAGATCCAAAAGATATTTACTTGTATGAATAATCCTTACTCACATGTATAGATTGAAGCCAATGAAGCTACACATGTGAATGAGTGCCACTTCAATGCCATTTAAAGCAATTTGGTGAGGGGTAGGGGGAATGAGTTGGGGTTTTGTTTGTTTATTTGTTTTTTGTTGTTTTTTCCCCTGTCAAGGTTCCTCCCCCACTCTGAACTCTAGGGTACAGATGTGGGGACCTGCATGAAAACCTCCTAAGCTTACTTTTACCAGCTTAGGTTAAAACTTCCCAAGATACAAATTAATTTTATCCTTTGTCCTTGGAATATCCACTGCCACCACCAAACTCTAACTGGGTTTACTGGGAAACGTAGTTTGGACACATCTTTCCCCCCAAAATCCTCCCAGCCCTTGCACCCCACTTCCTGGGAAAGGTTTGGTAAAAATCCTCACCAATTTGCATCGGTGACCACAGACCCAAACCCTTGGATTTGAGAACAATGAAAAAGCATTCAGTTTTCTTACAAGAAGAAGACTTTTAATAGAAATAGAAGTAAATAGAAGTAAAGGAATCACCTCTGTAAAATCAGGATGGTAGATACCTTACAGGGTAATTAGATTCAAAACATAGAGAATCCCTCTAGGCAAAACCTTAAGTTATAAAAAAGACACACAGACAGAAATAGTCATTCTATTCAGCATAGTTCTTTTCTCAGCCATTTAAAGAAATCATAATCTAACACATACCTAGCTAGATTACTTACTAAAGTTCTAAGACTCCATTCCTGTTCTATCCCCGGCAAAAGCAGCATATACACAGACACAGACCCTTTGTTTCTCTCCCTCCTCCCAGCTTTGGAAAGTATCTTGTCTCCTCATTGGTCATTTTGGTCATGTGCCAGTGAGGTTACCTTTAGCTTCTTAACCCTTTACAGGTGAGAGGCCAGGAGGGATTTTAAAGGGGTTTACCCTTCCCTTTATATTTATGACACGCCCCCCAAATCTCAGCTAGGGTGAAACACTGGCTGGGATTTCTTCTTGGAGCTCTAGGAAAAACAGAGTTAATAAGACACATGCATCTCTAAATATACTGCCAAGTACATAAAGACTAACAATATTTTCCACATCTCAAGGATGATTTTAACCAGTTGATTCTGGGAAACTTTCACGGGAGAGTGCATCAGCCACTTTGTTAGAAGCTCCTGAGATGTGTTGGATGTCGAAATCAAAATCTTGGAGGGCTAAACTCCAGCGAAGAAGTTTTTTGTTAGTTTCTTTGACGGTGTGAAGCCACTTCAGTGCAGCATGGTCGGTTTGCAGGTGGAAACGCCGTCCCCAAACATATGGGCGTAGCTTTTCCAGAGCGTAGACAATGGCGTAACATTCTTTTTCACTGACTGACCAGTTGCTTTCCCTCTCAGACAGTTTTTTGCTGAGAAACACTACAGGGTGGAATCAGGTCCTTTCTGCATTAAAACTGCTCCCACACCACGCTCGGATGCATCTGTGGTTACTAGGAATGGTTTGTCAAAGTCTGGGGCCCTTAGTACAGGGTCAGACATGAGTGTCGCTTTAAGCTTGTTAAAGGCCTTCTGACACTTTTCGTTCCACTGAACGGCATTTGGCTGTTTCTTTTAGGTTAGGTCTGTCAGTGGGGCGGCGATTTGGCTGTATTGCGGTACAAATCGTCTGTAATAACCGGCCAAGCCTAAGAAGGATTGAACCTGTTTCTTTGACTTTGGGACAGGCCACTTTTGGATAGCATCCACTTTGGCCTGTAGGGGGCTGATAGTTCCTTGACCCACCTGGTGTCCAAGGTAAGTCACTCTGTTTAGGCCTATTTGACACTTCTTAGCCTTAACAGTTAGTCCTGCCTCCCTTATGCGCTCAAGGACTTTTTGTAGATGTTCCAGGTGGTCTGCCCAGGAATCCGAAAATACGGCCACATCGTCAAGGTAGGCAACTGCATATTCTCCTAATCCCGCTAGGAGACCATCTACAAGTCTTTGGAAGGTGGCGGGTGCATTTCGCAGCCCGAAAGGGAGTACATTAAATTCATACAGCCCAAGATGTGTGGTGAAGGCTGACCTTTCCTTGGCAGATTCATCTAGCGGTACCTGCCAGTACCCCTTGGTTAAGTCCAAGGTAGAGATGAACTGGGCCCGTCCCAGTTTCTCTAATATTTCATCTGTGCATGGCATTGGATAGTTGGGCGAGTTACAGCATTTAGCTTATGGTACTCCATGCAAAAACGTATTTCCCCATCTGGTTTGGGAACTAGAACCACTGGAGATGCCCAGGCACTTCCAGAGGGGCGGATTACACCCATCTGTAACATATCCTGGATCTCCCGTTCTATAGCAGTTTTAGCTTGAGGAGACACTCGGTAAGGTTGGACTTTAATTGGGCGAGCATTACCTGTGTCAATGGAGTGGTATGCCCGTTCAGTCAGTCCTGGGGTGGCTGAGAACGTTGGCGCGTAGCTAGTGCACAGCTCCTGGATCTGCTGTCACTGCATACGCCCAAGGGTCATGGAGAGGTTCACCTCTTCCACACCACCAGCACTCTTCCCTTCATAGTAGACACCTTCAGGCCACTCAGCGTCGTCTCCTCCCTGGGCTGTAAACTGACAAACCTTTAATTCTCTGGAATAAAAGGGCTTTAGAGAATTAATATGGTACACCTTAGGCTTTCAGTTGGAGGTGGGGAATGCTATGAGATAATTAACAGCTCCCAGGCGTTCCTGGACCGTGAATGGCCCTTCCCACGATGCTTCCATTTTATGGGCCTGGAGCGCCTTTAAGACCATGACCTGGTCCCCTACTTTGAACGAACGCTCTCTGGCATGTTTATCATACCAGGCGTTTTGCTCTTTTTGAGCATCCTGTAAGTTTTCTTTAGCAAGGGCTAAAGAGTGTTTTGTAGGTTGGTTACAAAGTCCAGAATGTTAGTTCCTGGAGAAGGTGTAAATCCCTCCCATTGCTGCTTCACCAACTGTAATGGCCCCTTAACCTCACGGCCATATACAAGTTCAAATGGGGAAAACCCTAAACTGGGGTGTGGTACAGCTCTGTAGGCAAAGAGCAACTGCTGCAACACTAGGTCCCAATCATTGGAGTGCTCATTTACGAATTTACGTATCATGGCCCCCAAAGTTCCATTAAAATTCTCCACCATGCCATTTGTTTGATGGTGGTAAGGAGTGGCAACCAAGTGATTTACCCCATGAGCTTCCCAAAGGTTTTCCATAGTTCCTGCCAGGAAATTAGTCCCTGCATCTGTGAGGATGTCGGAGGGCCAACCTACCCTGGCAAAAATGTCTGCTAGTGCCTGGCACACACTTTTAGCCCTGGTGTTGCTTAGAGCTGCTGCTTCCGGCCATCGAGTGGCAAAATCCATGAAAGTCAGTATGTACTGCTTTCCTCTGGGTGTCTTTTTCGGAAAAGGACCCAGAATATCCACAGCTACTTGCTGAAATGGAACTTCAACAATGGGGAGTGGCTGGAGAGGGGCTTTGACCTGGTCTTGGGGTTTTCCCACTCTTTGGCATACTTCACAAGACCGGACATAGGTAGAAACATCCTTGCCCATTCCCTCCCAGTGGAATGACCCCCCCAAACGGTCTTTGGTCCTGTTCACCCCAGCATGGCCCCTAGGGTGATCATGGGCTAAGCTCAAGAGCTTGGCCCGGTATTTAGTTGGAACTACCAACTGTCTCTGAGGATACCAGTCTTCCTGGTGTCCACCAGAAAGAGTTTCCTTGTATAAAAGTCCTCTTTCTACAACAAACCTGGATCGATTAGAAGAGCTGAGGCGGTGGTTGCTCTGTGCTGCCGTCCAAGCTCTCTGGCAGCTTTCATCTGCTTCCTGTTCAGTCTGGAACTGTTCCCTTGATGCTGGAGACATCAGTTCCTCCTTGGATTGGGGACCTAGGCTTGGTCCCTCTGGAAGCGATGTAGGGGATGGGGCTGTTTCTGTTGACTGTGAATCGCTTTCCGCTGGTGCACTATGTTGGGATTCAGGCTCCGGCTGAGCCTCTTGTGTAGGGTTATCGGCTGCTGCCGGTTCAGGTTCGGTGGGGCCCTCTGGTGTTGAGGTTGCAAGTACTGGATTCAGTGCTGGCAAATGGTCTGGTGCTGGTTGTTCCGCTGGTTCCAGTTCTGGGACTGGTTCCGTCTGGGTCTCTGGGACTGGATCCACTACTGCTGTTGCAGACATTGGCCTGGGGTCCGGGTCCATCACCTCTGACCGGGTCCTGATAGAAGTTTCCGGAACAGAACTAAGCCTCACGGCTTGTTTAGCCTGGCTGCGGGTGACCATTCCCACCCTCTTGGCCCGCTTCACATGATTGGCCAAGTCTTCCCCCAACAGCATGGGGATGGGATTATCATCATAGACTGCAAAAGTCCACGTTCCTGACCAGCCCTGGTACTGGACAGGCAACTTGGCTGTAGGCCAATTGAAATAGTTGGACTTGAAGGGTTGAATCGTCACTTGGATCTCTGGGTTGATTAAATTGGGGTCCACTAAGGAAGCATGGATAGCTGACACTTGTGCTCCGGTGTCCCTCCACGCGGTGACCTTCTTCCCACCCACACTCACAGTTTCCCTCCACTCCAAGGGTATCTGGGAGGTATCTGGGCCTGCGGACCTCTGGTGTGATCCTGGTGCAATGAACTGTAATCTGTTGGGGTTCTTGGGGCAGTTGGCCTTTACATGCCCCAGTTCGTTACATTTAAAACATCGTCCAGCTGACGGGTCACTGGGGCGAGGTGGGTTGCTGGAGAATGGGGTGGTGGGACGATAAGGGGTCTGTAGGGTTCTTTGGGAGGTAGGTGGGGCTTTGGGCGGCCCCCAGTAATATGGTGTGGTGTGGTCTGGGGTTGTCCTTCTGGTCTCCGCTCCAACTGCGACCAGTTTTCTTCTTCTCTGCCACCTCCACCCATCTGGCTCCAATCTCTCCTGCCTCGATTACAGTTTTGGGCTTCCCATCTAGGATGTATCTTCCTATTTCCTCAGGAACACCCTCTAAGAATTGTTCCATTTGCATTAGGAAGGGCAAATTTACTGGAGATTCAACACTTGCTCCTGATATCCAGGCATCCCAATGTTTCACAATGTGGTAGGCATGTTGGGTAAATGACACGTCTGGTTTCTACCTTAGGGCTCTGAACCTCCAATGAGACTGCTCGGGTGTTATCCCCATTCTGACTCTCACCTTGGATTTAAACAGTTCATACTTGTTCATGTGTTCTTTAGGCATTTCAGCTGCCACCTCAGCTAAGGGTCCACTGAGCTGCGGCCTCAGCTCTACCATGTATTGGTCTGTAGAGATGCTGTACCCAAGGCAGGCCCTTTCGAAGTTTTCTAACAAGGCCTCAGTATCATCGCCTGCCTTGTAGGTGGGGAACTTTCTGGGATGGGAAGTTCCCCACCTACAAACCTGGAGAAGGACTGCTAGGGTTTGTTGGCCTATTCTGCTGAGCCTTTACCTTCTTCATCTCCAGTGCATGCTTCCTCTCTTTTTCCCTCTCCTCCTCCACATGCTTCCTCTCTTTTTCCTTCTCCTCCTTCTCCAGCCGCATGAATTCTATCTTTCTTTCATGTTCCTTTTGTTTTTCCTCAGCGTGAAATCTGGCTAATTCCAGCTTTTGTTGAGCCGTGGATTTTGTCATCCTAACCTCTCTGTTTTTAACTAACTTTACACCCGAGGTTTAGAAATAAACAAACAAACTTGGCTGTAAAATTTTGCTGTGCTGGAATAGGATACCTATTTTCTGATAGTGATTGTCAGCCTACAGAAAAAGACAATTCCCTTTGTCTCTGCTCTGGCCTCAAATCAAAGCAAAAAACCTCCAACTACTTGGAAAACTGCTTACCAGCAGCCTAAAGGAAAGAAAATTCCTTTTCAAACCGGTGTTCCTTGAAAAAAAAATCAAAATCCTAAAAAAAAACAAACCCTGCCACTTTTGTCTCCAAGCAAATGGGTAGAACACCCCCCCTATTTACTTTTAGGGGGAAAAAAAAGCTTCTGGTTTACCAAGACTGTGAATTTCTCTGCAGGAGGTTAAGTACCCTGCCTCCAGGCAAAGAAAACCTGCAATTCACAAAGATAATCCCCTTTTGTCTCTCCTCTGGCCTCAAAGCAGAGAAAAAACAAGCTGCTTTCCAGCAGCTCCAAAGGAAAAAAAAATTCCTTTTTAAAATCTGTATTTCTAGTTCAAAAAATCTCAAATTGATCTCAAAATGATTTCAGATTAATCCCACTACTCTGCCACCATGTCAAGGTTCCTCCCCCACTCTGAACTCTAGGGTACAGATGTGGGAACCTGCATGAAAACCTCCTAAGCTTACTTTTACCAGCTTAGGTTAAAACTTCCCCAAGGTACAAATTAATTTTATCCTTTGTCCTTGGAATATCCACTGCCACCACCAAACTCTAACTGGGTTTACTGGGAAACATAGTTTGGACACGTCTTTCCCCCCAAAAATCCTCCCAACCCTTGCACCCCACTTCCTGGGAAAGGTTTGGTAAAAATCCTCACCAATTTGCATCGGTGACCACAGACCCAAACCCTTGGATCTGAGAACAATGAAAAAGCATTCAGTTTTCTTACAAGAAGAAGACTTTTAATAGAAATAGAAGTAAATAGAAGTAAAGGAATCACCTCTGTAAAATCAGGATGGTAGATACCTTACAGGGTAATTAGATTCAGTGAATTTTAATGCTCATGAAGTGAGCTTTCATGTTTCAGTAATGCCTGACATGGTACAAGAAAATGCTCTAAAATGTTCTCAAGCAGCTCTACCATTGCAACCTGATTCCTGAACCACCATATCCCTGGCCTTCACTAAGACTCCTGGTTGTGCTGTGATTTTGGTATGAACCAAGGTCTAAACCTAGCTTCCAACAGCCAAACCTATTTTATCTGTGTCCAATGCTAGATGTAAATTCCCTTTTAAAAAAGAAAGCTAGCTTGAGCTTCCTTTAATCCCCTACCCTGCTCATCTTTATATTTAAGATAAAACTTAGCCCCTCTTCCTTTTCTTTGTAATGAATCAGAGCTTATATTTATGGCTCATATTTACTTATGAAGTAAAAGTGTACAGATCCTAAACTTGCCTCAGAAATGTAGCATTTAATAATTCATACATATTCATTATATGGTGAGGTGAGGAACTGGCCCTGTGAGTTAATTTTTTAACAGGAAATTTCAAAAGAGCTGTCAGGATGACACTGCTGCTTGTGGGCCCAGTCATGCATTGATTTCAGTGAGAGTTTTGCCGGAGTATGGCCTGAAAGACTGGGCCTTGTAGATTTTTTTTTTTTTTTTTTTTGCCACGCCACTTTTACTCACCCATGGCACTATATACTGTTAAATAAAAATAATCATAAATATTCTGTGCATTAAAAATATTCTCTGAATTAAATGTATTTTTATAATTTACACATCTTAGACTTTTATAGAAAATATATCTCATCTTCTCTTGCACTCCAGTTTCCATCTCATAGTTAATGGAAATTTTAACATGAAAATTAATCTTGTTTCTTGAAGACTGGACAGAAAGAAAGGGGTAGTTTTCCTTTTTAAGTGTTTACAGTTAGAGTGCTAATAATCACCTAGGTTTTTTTGTTTGTTGGAGATTTTTTGCCACTCAGTTCTGATTTCTACAAGTTAAGCTGTCTTGTCTGCTTCATCATTGTCCATAGGAACTAAATAAAAAAACCCCTCAGTTTCATATTCCAGTGTGCCTACTTTTGATGAAGTCTCAAAACAAGAGACTTTCTGACACATTCTCTTGAATTAAACTGACCTTAGGGCTTGGTCCAGTGTCCACTGAAGTCAATGGGAGTCCTTCCATCGTCTTCTGTGGGCATTGGATGAGGCTTATAGCGCTGAGGATAAACTGAGGGGGGAAAAGCTTAACTTATTTGCGAAATTTAACTTATTAAAAAAAAAGACAGTTAAACTAAAAGTTAACAAACAAGAGCAGACAAAAAGTTGCTGTAAAACGTACAGGCTTAAGGGTCTTTCAAAATTAATTTACCTTTGAAATCTCTGTGGGGAATCCAAATACAACTTTTACAGTAAGCTGAGGCCAAATCCTGTTCACTTTATTCATGTGAGTTGTCCCAACAGGCTCAATTGTGCAAATCTTGTAATCGTGATCCACACAGGTAGTCTCAGTGACTTCAAGTGAGTAAAGCATACAGGATTTGGTTGCTGTTGTACTCATATCAATGTAAACTGTATACAGGTTACCTAGTTCTATTAGTTTTATGAGCTGGCTAATGATGAGATCCTAAATTCTAATATGTTTTTGTACTATAGATTAATCTTTTGACTCTTCCCATGGAAACAAGTGATATTTTTCTTGTCTTAATATTATAAATGAATGCAATATGTTTGGCCAAACACACTTAACTAATTATTTATTTGATATTTTGAAATACAACAAGGGCCAGGGGACTGCCCTTGTTTTTTGCTTGCCGAATATAACATGTACTTTGGTCAGTATATACTTATTTTTGTTGTATATATCAAATATCCATCCAGCTGTTTTTACATATATACAGGATCTGTTCTTTCCCAAGTAAATTTGTAATCTCAGGTACAATAAACCTCTTTATGTATAAAAATACAAAAATGTGTGACTCTATTAACAATCCAGTTCATCTCTGTACACGAAATATAGATCAGTAATTACAATGTTGTCAGGGTTTTTCCCTAGTGTTTCATAGTTCTGTTTAAGTGATGAAATTCAAATGCTTTCCAAATAGACCAGCTGACCTCATGTTAATTACAAATAATAATAATTCCTAGATTCTATATAGGACTTTTCATCAATAGATCTCAAAGTGCTTTGCAAAGGAGAGCTGGACAGTATGAGTATCCCCATATAGCAATGGGGAAACTGAGGCAAAGAAAAGTGCTCAAGTTCACCAAGCAGTCCCTTCACAGAGCCAGAAATTGAACCCAAGTCTTATAAACCACAGGCCATTACCCAGCCTTTAGGCCACAGCATCTCCTGGCCTAGGATACTCAAAACTTGGAATTTTGAGAGAAATTTTGACATCTTGAAATTTGTTTTCATTCCAAAATCAATCCATTTTTGAAAATTTTTGAATGTTTGTTTCAAAACAAATTGTTTTCATTTTATATTATTTACATTATTTCATGACATGAGAAGTAGTGTATAAAATGTCAGAATATAGTAGTCAAAATATTCTATTTTATTTTTTGAAATTATTACAGGAAGCAGCTACTTTTAACAAGAAAATAAATTTATTCAATGAATCTGTACAAACTGTATCATTACAACACAAACAGGAGACACTTTGATCTAGAAAATAAGATTTTCCACCAGCTCTCATTCTAAACACTACATGTAATTTGTTCAATGCATAAGCTGTTGTATGTAATGCCCTAAAGGTTAAGTTGCTTAATAATCCTCCTTCTATAGGATGCAATCCTGCATTTCTTAATAAAGAAAAACTCCCATTGAACTAAATAGTAGTTTTGCCTCAGTAAGGAGTGAAGAATTGGGCCCAAAATGCATCTCTCAAGCCATTTTCAAACTCTGTTTTACATAGGCTCGCTCCTCTGTGAAGGTGATTTATGTGGCCTCAGCATTAAGTATAATTATGAAGAATATTATATCAGAGGCAACAAGTATTTTCTTAATGTAAATGGAAGCAGCAAATGTTGTAGATGTACTCTCAATTGGATATCTGGAGTGCTCCTTTCCCATGCATTAAAATGTAAATACATCTCCATGTATGAAATGTATTACTGCACAAGATCTGAGATAAATACTGCACAGAATGAAAAATGTGAAGTTGTATCAATAATCTGGTCGCTATAAAGGTCACACTATGAACCAGATTCACTCGCGCTGGTGTAGGGAGGTGTAAACTGCAAAAGCTGTTGTAGCCATGGGAGCATTCACCCTGAAGGGACAGCAGACAGGGTACCCACGGCTTTCTATCTGCAGGAGTTGTATTGCAGGGAGACCAGCTTCATAGAAGGCTGGGGGGCTTTATAGGAGATCTGACTTTGGACAGTCTTGGCCAGGCTTGAGTTTTCTCGTGTGGTGGAAGTTGTCGGCAATCCCTGATGAATGAACCTTACATTGCTAGGAGCTCTCAATTATTATGTATTTATAAGGCCTTCGCTGCTTGCCTTCTTCTGGAGGTAACAAGGCAACACTAAGTACCAGGAACACAGGTGAACATTTTTTGGCATTGCAGTGAGATACGCCTGAAATCCAGAGCCAAGGGAAATCTTATAAATCATCCGTACAAAAAAAAACTTTAACTTGCAGTTAAGGCTGCTGAACTGGATTTTCTATCAATATAGTTGCCAAACATTAAGGAAATAATTAGTTAAGACAACATTAACATCCACACCAACCAAAGCTCAGGTGCCTTGAAACCCAATTATAATGTCCAGCTGCACCGATTGACAATCTCCACAACAAACTCTCTTTCTATTCTAATGTAAAATCACCCAAAATGTACACATCCAGTTACCCAAAATTATATTCACTTGTACAACCTTTGTTCTGGCCTCAGAATATTTTAGATAGAAACAGAACAGTATAGGATCTTGCTGAGGTTAGAGTAAAGGTTCTGGGCTTGAGGACAAGTTTGAGAAACTGGATATGTGCTCTTGAATAACCTGCTCTAGTTTCTCTTCAGATTGTATAAATCTTTATTGAGTGAACTTAATTTCAAATTAACAAAGTTTGGGGTATTTGGTGATGGGGGGAGTGGGAAGAGGGCAGACGAGGCAATTTCCTTGTTTTCTAAAATGAGGAAAAAGGGTTTAAATGGAATTAGCGTGCAGGGTTTGAAAGAGGGCAGCCTTCTCTAACAGATGTTATGAGGCACACCAAGTACAGTTTCCCTTTTGCGGTTCTTTGCACATCTGTAGGGCCCTACCAAATTCGTGGCCATGAAAAACATGTCACGGACCGTGAAATCTGGTCTCCTCCTGTGAAATCTGCATAGTATAGGGTAAAAGCACACAAAAGACCATATTTCATGGGGAAGACAAGCATTTCTCAAACGGGGTCCTGACCCAAAAGGGAACTTGGGGGAGGTGGGGGGGTCGCAGGGTTATTGTAGGGGGGTCGTGGTATTGCCACCTTTACTTCTGCATTGCCTTCAGAGCTAGCTTGCCGGAGAGCGGCAACTGCTAGCTGAGGGCCCAGCTCTGAAGGCAGCAACACAGGTAAGGATGACAATACTGCGACCCCCTTACAATATCCTTGCGACATCCCTCCCTGCCCCCGCAATGCTTTTTTGGGTCAGGATTCCTACAGTTACAACACTGTGACATTTCAGATTTAAATATCTGAAATCATGGCATTTATGATTTTTAAAATCCTATGACTGTGAAATTGACCAAAATGGACTGTGAATTTGGTAGGGCCCTACACATCTGCATCTAGTGTGTGTGTATGGAATTATAGCTATATGGGACCTGAGGGGTTAGATAATGGAGGGAAATACTTCTATCCATATTGAAAGTGTTAAACAACTTCAAGCATTTAAAGTGTAACCTAAAAAACCACACCCTTTCCCTGTTCTCCATGGCTCCCTCTGCCATATCTGTCTGTAACCTTTACAGCCCCTCTCTGAACTCCCAGATTTGAGCATCCCCCAAGTCCCACCCTCCTGGTCCTCCAAACCATCAGACCTCTCTTCCCTGACACCTTTTATACTTCCTTTTTATTTATGCCCTTACCTGAAGCTTTCTTCACACCCTTGTCTGCACCTTTATTCCATGCTTCCATTTTCTGCACTAGGTCTTTGTCCCCACTGTTACCCCTTTCCAGCCAGAGCAATTAGCCAATATTCAGGGTCTTGCAGGTTGTTTCTATTAGGAGGAGAAACTGAAGGAGTCAGGTATTTCTTTGATGCAAGCTTGTTTATTTCCAAAAAAGGTACACAAAGTTCTGTTTTCTGGAACACAATAGGAATCATACAACAAGGGGGAATTTCCTTGTTCACAATTCCAAGCCTTTTTCCAGACAATACTCTGCCCCAAAAGCTCTCTCTTGGCTTTCTCTCATGGTCATGCTACAAGTTCTCCTCTTGCTCTCTTGGCTTTCTACTTCTCTGGCTGTTTCTGACACACACACATAGAGCAATCAAAACAATCCCTAGCCCCAGCATTTGCATTCAGTCTAGTCTTTGGGCAATGACTTTCATTGTTTCAGTTATCACTAAATGGGCATTTAACAGTTCCTTCATGTACCCTGAATATAAGGCAGCTAGTAGGCCCAGCAGTTACAATGAGGTGGTGACATCATGTAATTGCCCATATATCAAATACATGCTTGCTGGGGTCCACCCAACCTCCAGCATAATACCACAATGCCCCAGTCCCCTCACAACTTTCTATCCCATCCAGTCCCCTGTCCACTCCATCATATGTAATCCCCTCCATCCTCCCATGTCCCAACTCATAACACATTCAAGCATGTATTTGTTACATTTTTAACCATTTAAAAATAAATGGAAAAAAATCCATTCAGATGTGCAACAGGGGAGATGACTGAAGGGGGTTGTAGAGTGCAGAGGTTCTCCAGGAAAAGTGCCCACTTTACAGTGAATCACTTAAGCAGCTCCATTTCTTAAGCAGCTTTGCATCCAAGTTTCCCTTTGCCCCCGTCCTCTCCCGCCATATCCAAATAAGAGCCACAGGGGAGGCATGAAGACTCGAAGGAAAAATTTCCTAAGAAGCATAGCTTGTAGGTCCACTAGGAATGCACTGTTCCAGGCTGGTGAATCTGCCAGCTTGCCATAGTATGGTTTGCTAAATCACAACTGTTCTGAATAAAACTTTTGTCTTATGGTTTGTTCTCAAATAAAACTAACCTATACATCCTCTAGAGATCGACTCTAGAGGGGGAGGTGCTTAGTCCCAAATAGGACTGACTGTCTCTGGGAATTTTACATCCAATTACCTTTTTGTGCCTTTGAAAAACTCATAGTGCAACCTAAACCTTCAAGGGTGAGAGCTGTGCTATTTGTTTGCTAGAGGAAGCAAAAGCTAAGATGAGGCAGGAAGGATACAGAGCACTAACAAGTCACTTCCACCCCTTAACGCAATTGAGAGCAACATTCAGGCACGTGCCTGTACGCCACCCTTTGCACCGACCCACGGCTTCCCTTATGATTACAGCTGCCGCCTAAGCAGCCCTGCTCTATTTGACAGGGGAACCCACACAGTAGAGGAGGCCACAACTTTTGTCTTCCCTTTGTGGCTAGGAACAATGCACTAGCGACCACAGGCTAGCCCCATTGCTAAAGCTCGCGGATAAAGGGAGGCTCGTGTCCGCGATGGGCTTCGAACGCGAGTCGTCCCGCTCCCAGGCCGGCGCGCTCCCTACTACGCCACTTCGCGCCGCAGGTGGCGGGCCCCCCCGCCTCACTTTTCCCCGTCGCTCACCAGGTGTCGCTGCTGCAGGAGCGAGGCGCCACGCTCCCCCCGCCCCCCTCGCGCACGCCTCGGCCGGCGGCTGCCGCGGCACCGGAAGCGGAAGTGGGCCGCGGGGGTCGGGCGTGGGACTAGTTGTTGTTGCTAGTGCTGGCGCCGCGGGTCCGACTGGGGCGTCATGGCGGCCGCGGCCCTTCCTCCTTTGCCTGAGCAGTTCAGGAGCCTCCAGCATCACTTGCGAACCGGGCAGGAGCTGGACAAGCGGGAGCCGGTGGTGGCGTATTACTGTGAGTGAGGCTGCAACGGCCACGAGAGCCCCGCCCCGCCCCCCACTCACCGACCGGTCCCCGACAGCCACGCCCCCATCCGTGACTGTGTCCCCTGCCCCGCCCCCAACACCCCTTCTAACCGCAGCCCCCTGGGCCCGCGTCTCGGTGGGTCCTGATCTGCAGGCCCGACCCGAGCTACAATCCGGGCAGGCCGCGTCGCCCCCGCCCCCCTCCCGGGACAGACCACTTTGTCGGGGGTGGAGTTAGGAATACTAACCTAATAAATCGTTTTGTACCACGACTAAATTTGTCCACTTTTAATCCGGTGCGAAAAATTAATGTTTGTTCCAAATTTAGCGTTGCCTTTAATTAAGGGAGCACCTATTTTGGGTCGCCGCCCAACCCTCAGTGATTAATGCCCAAGACACAACGTCTAGCAAAATACCACCCAGTGGCACCACCTTCACCTCACTATAAAGCTTATGCCCAGATGAATTTTTTAGTCTCTAAGGTGCCACAAGTACTCCTCCTTGTCTTTGCTTAGAAGTTGGAATAGTTTTAATAAGGGATTTTAAAAAAATCAGTGATGGAGGTTTTCAAATGCCTCTGAAATATATAAAAGTAGACTCTTAAAATGGAGAAACAGACTAGGATTGAGGGGAGCTTGGTTCTGTTCCCAGCTCTGCTGCTGAATTGTCTTGCCTTCAGCAGTTCACTTTCCTCATCTTTTGAGGCAGGTGTTTGTGTATCCTTCTAGATATTTAAAATCTTCATTTGTTATTGTTTGACATTTCCTCTTTCTAAGGGCAGGTCTACACTACAGCCCAAGTCAATCTAACTTATGTTGCTCAGGTTACGTGGATGCAAGTTTTGCGCTGTTCCCGCCAGTGCTACGTCGGCGGAAGATGCTCTCCTGCCAACATAGCTTATGTTTCTTGCTGAAGTATATGCCAACGGGAGAGTGCTCTCCCAACAGCATAGCGCATCACCAGACATGTTACAGTGGCGCAGTTGCATCAGTGTAGCTACGTTTATGTAGCACTGTACTGTAGAATGGCCCTCACTCATTTTCAGCAGGGAGGAAATTATATTTTCTTAAGGCTTGTCTACACTACAGTAGCACAGCTGCTCTAGTGTAGACCCTTGCTACAATGTCAGAAGGGTTTTTTTCATTGCTGTAGTTAATCTACCTCTTCGAGAGGTATGAGTAGTTGACAGAAGAATTCTTCCATTTATTTAGTGGTGTCTATATTGGGGCTTAGCCTGGCCTAACTACATCTCTCCGGGGTGTGAATTATTCACATCGCTGAGCAACATAGCTAGGTCAACCTAAGTTTTAGGTGTACTGTTTCTGTCTCTTGAATGACTTATTCTTCCCCTTTGAGATAACTTTATCAGGAGGTAACTTCTTGGAGTTGTAGTAGTATATTTTCAGAAAGTAAATGGGGAAAGGAACTTTTTAACCAATGATTTAATAAAGTACTTCTTTGTATACAGAGGTAAACTGAAAATGCAGGCTTGCAGTGTTTTGAAAAACATAGGCAACTCAGAGGCACAAGAATGATGCTATTCTTTATTTCGTGCACACAAATAATATGCTAATACAGTACTAGAATATCAACAAGTTGAATAAGGCATCTGTAAAATAACAGGAAAACTAGAGGTTTATAATAATAATTGCTGGATGGTTCTAGTAAAACACAACACAAAGTCATCTTGTATGTGACAGGAAGCACTAGCTAGCTCCTGAAGTGCTTTTTCGTTATCAGATGTAACACAATGTCTAACTACGTCATACAAATAATAGAGTTTCATGTAAGCAAGTAAGTGCAGGTTTTTGTTCTCATGAAGCTAAATGCAGAAATGTTTGATGATTAACCAATACTAATTTCTCTTGTTTTTTTGATTTATATATTTGTTCTGAAATCTAATATAAGTTCTCAGGAGTATGTAGGAAAAAACTAACTTTTTATCACACCTTAATATATTGTGATATTTGAATGTATTTTGTGATATTTGTACTTCAGTGAATAAGTACTTAAGGGAGAGGAGATAAAGTGCCAATTAGCTTTATATCATAGAATCATAGAATATAAGGGTTGGAAGGGACCCCAGAAGGTCATCTAGTCCAACCCCCTGCTCAAAGCAGGACCAATTCCCAGTTAAATCATCCCAGCCAGGGCTTTGTCAAGCCTGACCTTAAAAACCTCTAAGGAAGGAGATTCTACCACCTCCCTAGGTAACGCATTCCAGTGTTTCACTACCCTCTTAGTGAAAAAGTTTTTCCTAATATCCAATCTAAACCTCCCCCACTGTAACTTGAGACCATTACTCCTCGTTCTGTCATCTGATACCATTGAGAACAGTCTAGAGCCATCCTCTTTGGAACCCCCTTTCAGGTAGTTGAAAACAGCTATCAAATCCCCCCTCATTCTTCTCTTCTGCAGGCTAAACAATCCCAGCTCCCTCAGCCTCTCCTCATAACTCATATGTTCCAGACCCCTAATCATTTTTGTTGCCCTTCGCTGGACTCTCTCCAATTTATCCACATCCTTCTTGAAGTGTGGGGCCCAAAACTGGACACAGTACTCCAGATGAGGCCTCACCAATGTCGAATAGAGGGGAACGATCACATCCCTCGATCTGCTCGCTATGCCCCTACTTATACATCCCAAAATGCCATTGGCCTTCTTGGCAACAAGGGCACACTGCTGACTCATATCCAGCTTCTCGTCCACTGTCACCCCTAGGTCCTTTTCCGCAGAACTGCTGCCTAGACATTCGGTCCCTAGTCTGTAGCTGTGCATTGGGTTCTTCCGTCCTAAGTGCAGGACCCTGCACTTATCCTTATTGAACCTCATCAGATTTCTTTTGGCCCAATCCTCCAATTTGTCTAGGTCCTTCTGTATCCTATCCCTCCCCTCCAGCGTATCTACCACTCCTCCCAGTTTAGTATCATCCGCAAATTTGCTGAGAGTGCAATCCACACCATCCTCCAGATCATTTATGAAGATATTGAACAAAACCGGCCCCAGGACCGACCCTTGGGGCACACCACTTGATACCGGCTGCCAACTAGACATGGAGCCATTGATCACTACCCGTTGAGCCCGACAATCTAGCCAGCTTTCTACCCACCTTGTAGTGCATTCATCCAGCCCATACTTCCTTAACTTGCTGACAAGAATACTGTGGGAGACCGTGTCAAAAGCTTTGCTAAAGTCAAGAAACAATACATCCACTGCTTTCCCTTCATCCACAGAACCAGTAATCTCATCATAGAAGGCGATTAGATTAGTCAGGCATGACCTTCCCTTGGTGAATCCATGCTGGCTGTTCCTGATCACTTTCCTCTCATGTAAGTGCTTCAGGATTGATTCTTTGAGGACCTGCTCCATGATTTTTCCAGGGACTGAAGTGAGGCTGACTGGCCTGTAGTTCCCAGGATCCTCCTTCTTCCCTTTTTTAAAGATTGGCACTACATTAGCCTTTTTCCAGTCATCCGGGACTTCCCCGGTTCGCCACGAGTTTTCAAAGATAATGGCCAATGGCTCTGCAATCACAGCCGCCAGTTCCTTCAGCACTCTCGGGTGCAACTCGTCCGGCCCCATGGACTTGTGCACGTCCAGCTTTTCTAAAAAGTCCCTAACCACCTCTATCTCCACAGAGGGCTGGCCATCTCTTCCCCATTTTGTGATGCCCAGCGTAGCAGTCTGGGAGCTGACCTTGTTAGTGAAAACAGAGGCAAAAAAAGCATTGAGTACATTAGCTTTTTCCACATCCTCTGTCACTAGTTTGCCTCCCTCATTCAGTAAGGGGCCCACACATTCCTTGGCTTTCTTCTTGTTGCCAACATACCTGAAGAAACCCTTCTTGTTACTCTTGACATCTCTGGCTAGCTGCAGCTCCAGGTGCGATTTGGCCCTCCTGATAACATTCCTACATGCCCTAGCAATATTTTTGTACTCTTCCCTGGTCATATGTCCAACCTTCCACTTCTTGTAAGCTTCTTTTTTATGTTTAAGATCCGCTAAGATTTCACCATTAAGCCAAGCTGGTCGCCTGCCATATTTACTATTCTTTCGACTCATCGGGATGGTTTGTCCCTGTAACCTCAACAGGGATTCCTTGAAATACAGCCAGCTCTCCTGGACTCCTTTCCCCTTCAAGTTAGTCCCCCAGGGGATCCTGGCCATCCGTTCCCTGAGGGAGTCGAAGTCTGCTTTCCTGAAGTCCAGGGTCCGTATCGTGCTGCTTACCTTTCTTCCCTGTGTCAGGATCCTGAACTCAACCAACTCATGGTCACTGCCCCCCAGATTCCCATCCACTTTTGCTTCCCCCACTAATTCTACCCGGTTTGTGAGCAGCAGGTCAAGAAAAGCGCCCCCCTAGTTGGCTCCTCGAGCACTTGCGCCAGGAAATTGTCCCCTACGCTTTCCAAAAACTTCCTGGATTGTCTATGCACCGCTGTATTGCTCTCCCAGCAGATATCAGGAAAATTAAAGTCACCCATGAGAATCAGGGCATGCGATCCAGTAGCTTCCGTGAGCTGCCGGAAGAAAGCCTCATCTACCTCATCCCCCTGGTCTGGTGGTCTATAGCAGACTCCCACCACTACATCACTCTTGTTGCACACACTTCTAAACTTAATCCAGAGACACTCAGGTTTTTCTGCAGTTTCGTACCGGAGCTCTGAGCAGTCATACTGCTCCCTTACATACAGTGCTACTCCCCCACCTTTTCTGCCCTGCCTGTCCTTCCTGAACAGTTTATAACCATCCATGACAGTACTCCAGTCATGTGAGTTATCCCACCAAGTC